GGAGCTGGCCCGGGGCTGGCCCGGGGTCCCTCCTCGCTCGCTGCTGCCCCGGCCCCGCCGCCTTGTTGGATTTTCAAGCTGCGCTCGGGAATTGAGAGCGAGGGATTTCCCGGCCTGCTGGACCACGTAAAACCTCCCTGCTGCCAGCGGTGCCGGGGCCGTCCCCCCTCGGCAAGGAACTGCTCTTCTGGGGAAGCGTGGCAAGCGGGAAATGTCCCCCCGCCGGGGGCATCGGATGCTCAGCGGCCATCACCACCTTTCAGAGGAACAGACAGGGCTTCAGCCAAGCCGGAGGAGATGATCCTCAGACCACGGAGTCGGGGGGACCTGGGGGTCCCCGCTGACAGGGGGACCAGCCCCGCTGGAGCAGCCGGCGGCGTTTCACACTGTCCTGTGCCTTACGCGGTTACAATCAAGGAGTGATGCTCGGCTCGGATCTGGTGTGAGGATGCTGCAGCCGTGTTGACTTTGCCTTGGCGTGTGTGTGAGTGCGTGTGTGAGTCTGGGAACGAGGGGGTCTTCTCGGGGTGCAGGAGGTCTCTGCCGGGTACACCCGCGGACGGATGCCCGGACCCCTGCCACGGGCTGAGGGATGGTTCAGCGATGGTGGTGGTGTTTAAATGCTGGCGGTGGGGCGGTGGGCAGGGCTGAGCAGCAGCCAGATTGTGCTGGGAGCCGTCAGGATTCAGGTGGGAGCTGAAGGGAATCTCAGCAAGGAGGGCTCTGCTCACAGCCGCAGCTCTGCTGAGCCGTGCCCCTGCTGCTGTGCTGGAGGGATGCCATCGTGTTCTGGAAGTGCAGGGAGAGCCCAGTGGGTCTCTGCAAAACCCAAGAGAGTGCCTAAAATTAGGCAGAGAGGACTGGTGCCTGTGAATCTGTGTGCATCCTCCTCTGGGCACCTCCTCCTCTGTGCCTTTTGGACCATCCCCAGGTACAGGGAAGGGGAGCACCACTTCTGTGGTGGAGTCCAAGGGAGCAGCTGCAGGACAATGGAGCCTCAGACTGGGAAAGTGAAGCTGCAGCACTCGAGGGCAGCTGGAAGCAGATTCCTTCCTGCAGTAGGTTTGAAGTTGTATGAGAAAACAAGCCAGTCAAAAGCAGAGCTGGGCTACAGCCTCTGACCAGCACTACCCTGCTGGAAAACCTGGGCAGGAAGCACGCACAGAGTCCCTGGAAGCTAGTTAATTAATTAACCTATCAGATCCTGGGGGGTTTGGGATAAATCAATTGTACCATCCCACCTCCCCCTTTTCTGCTGCATCAGCTGTTTCTACTGACTCAGCAAAGGGTTCAAAAAGCAGGTACCAGGAGGTTCCATCCTCAGGCCAGTGTGTCAGACACAGGTTTATTTTAATGCTGGTTTTCAGTGTAAATGAAAAATGTTGCTTAGACTTAAGAGGAAAGTGACAAATTGGTTGTTTGTGTGAACACATCCTTGAATTCTTCCATGTGGAAGATATCAAGATTTTTGCACTGCTGGTTGTGGTGGTGAGAGCATGTCCATTTCCTCAGCTCTGAACAGAGAAGCAGGATTTAGGAGGTTGCCCAGCGTGGCTGTGGATGTCCCACAGGGTTCAGGGTCAGGGCTGGATATGGCTTGGAGCAACCTGGTCCGGTGAAAAAGTGTCCCTGCCTCATGGCAAGGGGTTGGAATGAGATGAGCTCTAAGGTCCCTTCCAACTCAAACCACTCAAAGATGTTAAGATTTTAAGAGTTCTTTCAGTTTTTAAAAAATAAACACTGTGAGTATTAGGGCAAATAAAAAGAAACACCTAAAAGAATTCCCTATAAATTTGTCTGAAAGCTACCAAGGCCATTTATTGCCAGGCCAGGTTCCAGGGAAGCTGGGGGACAATGCTGGAGCAGCACCAGGGGTTGTGTCAGTCAGCCATGGTGGTGATGGGCAGCTCCCCACAGGGAGGGCAAAGAGTCTCCTTTTGCTGAGGGGAATGAAGAATTTTATTCTGTGAATAGGACCAAATCCATCAGTCTGGTCAGTAATATGGGATGGATGGAAACAAACACAAGGGGAAAAAAAAATCAGCCTTGTCTGGGAACAGGTTTGGCAGAAGAGGGTAACAAAGTGTGTGTTCACCAAAGCTAAAAAAAAAAAAAAAATCAAAACCATTTTTAAGCTGTTTTCTCTTCTTTCATTAAAACTGTTTGATTTGGGTTTTCTCAGCCCTTCAGTGGTGGGTGGGTGTTTTCCTTCTTTTCAAAGATTTCAGAGCCAAAGGGGGCTCCTGGCTGCCCCAGAATGTTCCCAGGGCCCTCAAGCCACCTAACTCCTCCCGTGGATGGATGTGGTGAGTGTGAGTGTGTGTGAGTGTGCGTGTGAGACACTCCTCAGGTGCCTTTGCCTTTCTGGTTTGTAAAACCCTTGCAGTCTTCTGATGTACAGAATGGAACTAGGAAAAGCAAATGGAATTATTCTGCCATGTAAAGTCATTTTCTGTTTGTTTGGTTTGTTTTTATTTTATTTTGCCTGTAGCGGACCCTTCGGCTTTCCCTGCGTGCTGCCACAGAGAAATTAATTCTTTTTAGGGGCTGGGCTGGAACAGGGCATTGGAACGGGCTGTCCAGGAGAGTGGTGCGATCACCATCTCTGCAAGTGTTCAGAAGGCATGTGGATATGGCATTTGGGAATGTGGTTTGGTTGGACTCAATGATCTTGGAGGTCTTTTCTAACCTCAATGATTCCATGAGCCTACATTTCTATTGCCTGTCCCCTGCACCCCAGCACAGCCCCTTCCCAAAGGGCAGTTCCCAGTGTGGGTGGGGGGCACAGGGGGCACTTGGTGTGACCATCCCGGGGGCACTGGGGGTGGGGGGTGACAAAGATTTGACAGTTTTGGGTTTTTCTGGAACAGATGGATCTGTGCAGCTCTCTGAGCCGGTGTTTCTGCGTGTCCCTGTGTCCTGACACTCCACCTTGGACTCTGAATGCACAGACCTTTGTGCTTCTAAACTTAATTTTTATTTATTTTTATTTTTTATTTTAAAATTTTGAGTATTTTTCTTTGTTTCTATTTCATCTTCATTTTCC